TTGGCCAGACAAGTTTTCTGGCAGAGAAAGGATGTTTGTTCCCCTGTTTCTCTGTCAGCGTGTAAATAAAGCATAGGAAGCTAACACAATGGGTGCAGATCGATATACCAAGTCAACAGAGAGACACGAACACAACAGGGAAGAGCACACAGAAAAAACAAGTGAAGGTGGGGGTGAGGGGTGATACTGCCTCTGAGGACAGATAATAAACTTTGGGGATGCACGGAGAAGACAAAGAGGACACCCCCTAGGGTGACCAGATGTCCTGATTTTATAGGGACAGTCCTGATTTTGGGGTCTTTTTCTTATATAGGCTCCTATTACCCCCCATCCCCGTCCCGATTTTTCACATTTGCTGTCTGGTCACCCTAACACCCCCTTCTCCTGCCCCTAGGAAGTAAACAGGCAGTGCATTGGTACCCATGAAAACCGGATCACAACCAGCCTTGGTCAAAATTTGGGGTGAGAGAAACTGCTGTAGGCAGGAGGTGAACCTGTGAGTTCTGTTTAGTCTCTGGAAAGCAGGGTATTATTTTGTTTGACGTGTAACCCTTTGTTTCCAGGTTCCTTACTCACCAGCTCCTGAAGCTCTAAACTCTGATAAACTTAGTCGTGTTTTCATTATAAATATAGTTCTGGGCTGTGGTGTTAAATCAAGCGCTGGTTTGGGGCTGAATTTGACCCTCTGGTGCATAGTCTGTGCCTTTGGGGACAGCAAGCCTGGGATTTCTGAGCGTAGCCAGTGTCAGGGGCTGGCTAGCCCAGGGCAACACTTCAAAGGGACGTGGGGAGTGGGGTGCACCTGTGGTTGCCCTGCAAGGCAAAGTAAGGCCTAGCCCGGAGGAGAGTGCTTGGCTGGCTAACAGGCTGGTGGTGTTAGGAGCTGGCCTCCAGCTAAGCACAAGCAGGATTCCTGTATGCTGGAGGTCGGGGGGTAACCAGGTGACTCACGAGCCTGGGTACCCTGAGAACCAGCCACCTTTATCACGAGGGTGCCACCTACATGAATAAAGGGGCTTTAGTTCCAGCACAGCAGCTGAAGGGTTAACAGGAGCATGGTTCCCCCCCCCGTGTGGGACCTCAAGCTGGGGGCTATGAACAGGTCGGGGAGTCAGGGGGTGGATGGGTCTCACAGTCACTCCTCCCCTTCTCTCTGACTAGATGGGAAGGAGGGGAAATGTGGGGTCACCATAGTGGAAAGGGTTTGACCCACTGCCCTAGTGTGTTTAGCACCTGTCATTCAACGATCTTAAAGCGCCGCAAGGTGGGGTATTATTCCCCTGCTTTTAGAGATGGGGAAACTGAGGCGCAGAGCGGGGAAGTGCCTTGCCCAAGGCCCCCCAGCCGGCTGGGAATAGAACCCAGGTCTCCCACCCCTGTGCTCTACTCACTAGGCTTTGCTGCCTTTCTCTCCCGGGCAGCTAGAGGGACAGGGCCGTGTGGGTTACTTACGGTGTGGGGCCGGCCGGCAAAGGTCTTTCCCTTCTTCAGCAGCACCTCCTTGGCATGCAGGTAGTGGCTCACCACCACCATGTAGTGGGAGCCCATCTTCAGGGAGTAGAGGCTGCCGTATTTCTTCTGCAGGCTGTGGAAGAGGAGGTGGAGCTGGGGGTTACCGGACAGATGCAGCAAGCTCCCGATGATGGGCAGGGAGGGCAGGCTCCTAGGGTACTTGGGCCTGGGCTCTGCTTTCCCCTTTGCCAGTCTCCAGAAGGAGAGGAGTGCCAGCACCAGGAGCAGCGCGCCCAGGAGTGGGACCATCGTCCTTCGATGTGGCTGTCGGCTCTCCCCGGAGCGAGCGAGGCGCGGTCCCTTATAAAGGCTTTCGCTGACATTGCCTTGGTTTGGGGTTGCCTGTTGCCTTGCAGAGGGCTGTGTTATCAATAGCTTGGAAGATAACCACTCACTTGGGCTGGAATGCAGCCAGCCTCCCGGCTGCCAGCGCAGCGAGAGCAGAATCCGTCTTTAGTACGTTTGGCTAATTGAGCTGGTCTTTGCCAGCTCCTAAAAATCCCAGAAAATCCCCAGCAATATCGACAGGGGTTGTGGGTTTGGCAGGCAGGGAGGATCAGCAGAGCCTCATGGGGTCAGAGCAAACCTAGGGAGCGTTTCCTTTGCCAGGACACATGGCAAGATTTTACTGTTATGTGCAGGAGGGTGGCAGCTAGAGGCCCCAAGTGAGATTGTGGCCCCATTGGAGCAGGTGCTGTACAGCTGCATAATGAAAGCCAATCCTGGCCCCTAACCATTTACAATCCAGTTAGACAAAGGAAGATTTCAATCCCCATTGTACACATGGGGACCATTCAAGGAGTAAGAGACTGGCCAAAGGTGGGACTTGAACCCAGGCCTTCAGCGTCCTAATCCAGTGCTGTTAATAATCAGGAGCCCTTCCTTAGTGACTCCCTGGGGACCAGTCTGCTTGGGCAGGAATCCGGGCAGCTCTCATGAGCTAAACAGCCTCGGGCTAGGTCAGCAGTACATTGCTGGAAGAGCCCTGAAGTGCTGCAGGAAGTGGTGTTGGAAATCCAGTAGAGGGGCGGTCTTCCCTCTGAATCAGTAGGGAGCCAACACCACTGGATCTCCCAACTTAAAACCCACTTCTTAGAGCCATTCTCGCCTGATTTACTGCGTACTCTGGGAACAAGGAGCTAGGGAGGGCACCAAACATCAGAGCTCAGAGAAGGGACCACGGCTGTGTTTTTATATTGCCAAAGTATCTGGATAGTGGCTATTGGGAACAGCCAAAATAACTAAATAGCACAGAAGCACGGTTTGTATGGCTAGCCACAAAAGGTACATTAACAGCGTCCATTCCCCAAGTGATCTGACCTGGATAACAAAGGCCATGGGACTTCCCTGAATTCATTCCTGTTTGAACTAGAGCAGGTCTTTTAGAAAAACGGGATTTAATATTGGCCAGTGATGGAGACTCCACCGTAACCCTGGGTAAGTTGTTCCAGTGTTTAATTACCCTCCCTGTTAAAAATATGCACCTTTAATGCTAGTCTAAGCCTGTCCATTTTCAACCTCTAGCCATTAGCTCTTGTTATAGTTTTGTCTGCTAGACTGAAGCAGCCGCTAATCTCAAATTTCTGTCCCTCACATAGGTATTTACAGACGGTGATCGTCACCCCTTAACCTTCTCTTTCATCGGCTAAATTGATGGAGCTCCTTGCGTCTGTCACTCTGAGGCATGGCTTCCAATCAATTGATCATTCTCGCGGCTCTTCTTTGAACCCTCTAGGCTCACACAGGGTTGCACAGGTGTAACTGGGAGACAGGGTGATGCATGGGGGGGGCGTGGGGAAGAACTCAGTTATACTCTGAGATCGCAGAGTGAGATGGAAAACCCAACTTGAAGCATAGCTGAGCTGGGAGTCACTGAGGGATGCTAGACTGACACAGGTGTCTCACCTGAACCCACCCGCTCAGAAAACTTGAGGGCGCTCTTTCCGCCTAAAGCAGTTAAACAATATGAGCACACAGCAATGCTGCAGCAACTTTTGGAGTGGACTGTGGAGCTGGGGCAGGCACAGATGTCTCTGTCACTAGTTCTGTCCTTTAGAATAAGGCCTGGCTACAACCCAGTGCTGTTTTCCAGTGAGTGGGAAGGAAAGCAAGTGCCTTCGGGGTGCTTTGAAATATCCAGGCTCTACAGTTACATAGTTCCACTGTGTAGAAAGAAGGACAGTTATTTTTCGATCAAACAGGAAACAACTCATAAGGGAACTGGCTTCTTTTGGAACGGCCTTAAAGGACCCTTCCTGCTCTGATGCATGGCCTTTCCACGTCCGTAGGAAGTACCACAATGTCAGATGTACTCGAAGACGTTAAAAAGGCCCTTGTGCCATATGATGTCTGCTCCTGTGTTTGCAGCACATTGGGTGAACCCAGCTGCAGTTT